ACTTTTCGTATTCTACTATATTAAGAATACAATTTTTAGTCTAACTTCACTGGAAGCAGAAGCTGTCAGATGAAATCCAATACATCTTACTAGTGTAAAAGCAAAGTAAACAGGCTTTGACTCCTAATAATTACACAGACTGAGACTCATGTCATTCAACGCCACTTAAAACTCAATTCCAGAGTGATATTAATGAGAAATTCCTCTTTAAGCCCACTGCTCCTCAAAACACTGATCGTGTTATATAGGTTGGGAACTTCAGACGTTGTATGGCAACACCTACGGTTTTACGTATCAAGCAGAGTACTGAACCCGGCCCCTTATTTGGAAGAATAATGGTTGAACTCGCCTAACACAGGACTCTGAGCATGGTTTTAGTATCACTGCAGCAGCCTGAATCCACAGTCACTCTGATGTGGTGGTGGCTGCTGTCTCACTTGAGCTAGCTGAGCCTCTACCCTCAAAGAAGGAACACGTGAAAACCAAAAACTCACTCTCTGGTGACTTGACAGCTTCTTCAGTCCTTTCAAACCACCTTGCTCCTTGTCATGACTTAGAGCCATTTCTGAAGACCGATGAGGCTGTACCGCCAGCTGCCCAATGCCCCTGGCGACCAGCCCCACTATCCCTTGGAAATGCCCCTCAAATCAGCTCTTCCCCACCCAGGAATTCCCCTTTGCGCTGGAGGAATCTCCCAGCTGCAGGTCTAGTGCATCTTCACAGCTCCTGGCCACTTTGCAATGACACCAAGCATCTGACACGTTCATCAGGAGCCATCAGTGAAGCAAACGTCACCGTGCCATTTCTATTCTGCACAACGACACACCGTTTAATACTCATACAGCCATGAGACGGAGGGCAGGGACCCTGCTGTAATCGGCGCTGTACAGATACAGAACACAGGCCTATTTCTTCCACAAAACCTCTGCCGTCTCCCAGAAACACATTTGCTTTGGACTCTGTTTTTCTCAACTTCAGTTGAGTTCAGTTCAGAACACCCAACGGCAAAGTTAGCACTGCATTTACAGGGCTTTCCTTCCCCACTTGTGTTGAACAGTCAGCATTGTTATCTTATTTTTTGTTACAGTGTTTGCACTGGTAATGCTGAACAAACCTGAAGCCTCCACTACAGCAAACACAAAAATTGACTTTGTTTATAAAAGAATTAAAGAACTAACACATGTTGAGGGTCTCTCTCCATTTACAGAAAACAGGCACTTCATGACAGCACAGTTTCTCTGACTGATGGAAGTTTAGAAACAAAACAAGTGGCAGAAAACATGCAATTATATCCCCCTGAAGAAAGTGAGCTCTGTTCTCAGATTGGCAAATTGCATTTTCTACAAACTATTAATTAGCAAAAGATTCATCTACACTAAAGAGATCTCTGCTTACTGCCAACCTGCTTACATTTAAGCTGGACTTTGTTCTCCCCTTTGGAACACTCCTGATCTTTGGACTTGGTAACTGAAAGCTGCCATTTCTGGCACTGATTTGTGTGCGTGTACATGTTAAGGAACCGTTGCAACTGGAGCTGCCTCCTCATGAGCCGGTTACACATATAAAGTTGAGTTAAAAGAAGGTGTCTCTCTTGCTACCAAGGCCTTATAAAAAGTAGATCACCAGAAGACTGCTTACACTTTCAAAGTACTCCATTCTCCTTGCTTGTCAGATTACGCTTTAAGATGTTACATAAAAGCAAAAATAGTCACAAGTATTTTGGATCACCTGTCTAGTGTTAGCACTGCCGGAGATGAACTGTGCCAGGAGCGTTTTACATCAGTGTGAAAAAAGTCAGAGTTCCTAAAAATTTTTTTCCCTATGAATTATTTATTGGTAAAATAAAAGCAGCTTGTGTAAATGATGGCAAAATCCTTCAAACTAGATATTGCATAAGAGCTGTTGTATTTTATGGAAGCTAAAAAAAATTTAGAATATGAAGTTTGAGGTTTTCCTTGATATTAGGACATTATCTCAAACTCCTTGATGCCTCTCAGGCAGACAATTTGAGTGCTTAGATTATTTATATTATTATTATTTCCACCAAAACACTGAGAAAATGTCATTATTTCATCTTTCACATTAAAAAGAGCAGGTGTATAAAGGAATACAATTACAATTCTTAATAAATCAGCACCTACAGACTTATTTAATGCTCTTTAAGACTGCTTCATCTACAGACAAAACCTGAAGTACCTATGGCTAGCAAGTTTTTCTGTTTGTTTTTAATCAGCTTCAGAGAAAAAGAAATCAGGTTGACACGAAAATCAAAGCGGTGTTTTAATATGCACAAAGTCTAGCTTCATTCGTTAGCAGTCCAATCCAGTTCCTGCAGAAAAGGAGTGGGCGGTTTTTGCTACCAACTTAAATGGAAGTAGGATCAGACACGAAAGGAGGAAGATCTACAGCTGTTATGTTAGATGCTGCAGTACTTGCCTGGACAATGGAAGTATTCCCTAGGACACGTTCTCAGATACCTGTCTGGCAGCACAAACTGCTAATCCTCCTTCTATCTCTACCACCACCACCAGCTCATTACATTAAATCAGATTCCAAAGATACCACCTTATTATGTAAAAATGTATGCATTTTAACTTCAAGCAGAAAGGGCTACTTTCAATTTATGCTGCTTAATCAACTGCTTAGTTTCTACAGCAATATAAGTACAAGCAGCAAGCAACTTTCAAGAAAACACAATTCATTTCTACAGTTCGTTTTACCACGTGAAAGCTTCCCGTGCACTTAGATGGAAACTGAGGTGCCTCTGTCAATTTTGTACCCTGTGAGAAGCCCGTAAGACACAGGCACCTTCATTTGTGCAGGTGAATCCCTAAAAATATCAGAATAAAAAGGTGGAAGTGTCATCTCAACTCACACAAATAGAAACTGTTTAGGCCATTTGAGAGACACAAGCATAAACCTGATGTTAGGGGGCGGCCAAGCCCTCTACCACCATTGTTTGAGCAACAGCATATTCTACAGTGGCCAAATCCAGCACCCACTGACAGCAGTAAGAGCCACCCTGGGAATTCACCGGGCATTAGCTGAAAAAGCCTGGACTTTCCTGATCCTGAGAGCTTTGGACTTGTCTGAACACAGACTGCCACATGCAACAGCTCTGGCGTGCTGTGCTGAGGTTCGGGTAAAGGGGCTGTCAGCCCCCCCCAGATGGAGATGAAATGGGCAGATTTGTTTTATTTTACACCGGCAGCTGAACCATAGCTGTAAATCAGCCACTAAGGGTCCCAGGGGACAGCACACGAACCCCTCCACAGATTTTCAACAAAAGCATCCCTGGGTTTTCCAGCTGTGCTTCACAAAATGCAAGAAATTACAGCAGTTAACTGCACTCCTATTTTCACGCTTAAGGAGAACTTATCCTTCCAGATCCCGACACGCTGACATGAGTAAAGCAGCAAACACTCTAAATGAAAGTGGAATCGCAAAAGGATTTTTTTTCAAGTGTTCTCCCACCCTGAAGGAAATCCAAAAAAACAGTTTTTTCACCATCACTTCCAAAAGATGAACCACCCTGCTCACAAAAGCCCCCCAAACGCCTGTGTCTCCGTGCTGGCGGTGCTCCCAAGGAAGACCCAAGTGCGCTATTGCTCAGGGAAAAGACACACTAATCCCCCTGCCCTGCTGCCGCCCTAACACCAACGCCTGGAAAGGTCCAGCCAGCAGGGCCAGGCAGGTCCTGCCCAGCCATATGTCAGCTTTGCTCCAGCGGGGTGAAAGTCTCCCCCAGGCCCTTTTAGCTCTCTGGCACTACGGCACGCACTTTTAGGGGTACCCTAAAGTCCCCGCTCTTGCTGGGAAAACGGAGCAAGGCTGTAGCCTCCTGGCTCAAGGGGCTCCCCGGCGCACACGCTAACTTACCGGGATAAAGCCGGTTTCTTCGAGTCGGATGTAGCACGGCTCTTGAGACCACAACCGCCCGCACTATCGGGGCCGGCACAGCAGCCCCGATAAAAAGTATATTCCAACTACACGCACGCACCTGCTTCGGCCCGGGAACTCCGTGCATCGACGAGGGGGGCAGGTATTTTAAGACACCTCCGCCGCTCTCCCTCCTCTGCTCATCTCAGCACGATCCCCCCCGGAGGAGAAGGGGAGGACACCCGCCCCGAGCTCCTCTGCCCGGGCACAAATTTAAAGGTAGAGATAAAACAAGCCCCGATGACTCGCAAAGC